TGGTTTTATGTTGAGTAATAATTTGAGAGTGTACAAAAAGTATTTATTAAGCTGTAAATACAGTTTGGGAATTTATTCCTGAAGGTAAGAAGTACTATTATGACACTATATTTTTCATTTTTAGATAGACTTAAAGAAATTATTAAATAATTTACCCAAGTTGATACAATTTATTATATATGTACTGAAATCCAAACTTGAATACAGGCAATATAAGATCTCAGAGCCTGAGATCTTAAGTAATACACTGTTTTGTTTTCCCCATATGGAAAAAAAGTAGAAATAGAAATGTAGAAATAAGCTTTCTAGTCTGATCTGGTCACTTGGGTTAGTTTTTCAGTTCTACCAGCTCTCCAATACTCAGCAAGATAGTATCTCTCAAAAGGAAGAAAGATTGGGGAACCTCTCCCGACAGCTGCAATCTCTCCAAGCCCAGAACAGGAAGCTTGCAGAAACTCTGCAGCGTGTTGCTGAAAAACTCTGTCGTGAGCTCTATAACAAAACTGGAGGTAAGTGTGTCCTGGTCACTCTGCCCTCAGGGTATCTCGCAATATAGAGCTCAATTTCCCATCAGTGTAACTTGGATTTATGTGTTATTTAACTAGTGGTCTGATAAACTGAATAAAGCGTTTGGACTTTAAGATCATGACCGTTGGGATCATGCTGTTCATATGTGTCTGTGTTACAGTACACGAAAGGATTCTTCAAATGCAGACACTTAAAACGATAAAAACAATTAACTTGGAATAACCAAATTAACACCACAAGTAAATAAATTACAGAGTTATGTGTCACTTTACCTTGGCATGTGTTTCCAAATCCTTCCCCATTAAGAAGTTAACAAACTCTTAACTATAGTTCTCAAATTTTAAGAATCATACAGGGATCAGCTAAAAAATGCAGGTAACCTGAATCAAATCCTAGTTACTTTAATTCAGTATGACTTGGCTGGGTACCAGAAATATACATTTTAATAAGAACCAAAGATGATGACATTGACAATGGTAGGCGAACTGCACTGGGATGAAAATACTATGGAGAAGACTAGAAGCATCCCTTTAGTCCCCCTGTGTATGTGTCTGTCTGTCTGTCTGTCTGTCTTACTCTTGCCCTTTTTGGTTTCATAATGGTCTACTTTATTCAAGTCAGCCGTCTTTTCTGCTCTCCTTAGCATGCATGCGTAGAAAGCAAAATACATTTTCAAGTCTCCACTTTTTATTTTTTTGGATTTAAAAAAAATTTTTTTTATTTAAGCATATTACAGGGGTACAAATGTTTAGGTTACATATATTGCCTTTGCCCCACCCAAGTTAGAGCTTCAAGCGTGTCTATCCCCCAGACGGAGCTCACCATACCCATTAGGTGTATATATACCCATCCCCGCCTCTCGCCTCCCATCTGCCTAACACCCAGTGAATGTTATTACTATATGTGCACTTAAGTGTTGATCAGTTAATACCAATTTGATGGTGAGTACATGTGGTGCTTGTTTTTCCACTCTTGTGATAGATACTTCACTTAGTAGAATGGGTTCCA